GAGTTACATGTATGACCAAAATCAAAAGTAAATATATGTATGTACATGTACATGTAATCCTTTATGTCCATGTCTCTCACTATTTAGAGTGTTGATAGAAAATATGTGTTTCATTTACCCGACACATTCCCAGAGACTCAAAGTATCTTGAAGTACATTATTTCCACTCATCATCCTGCCCCTCCTCCACCTCCTCTGGTCTCTCGTACAGCTGTGTGTTTGGTACCAATACAACAAGGTTAGGACACACAGTCAGTGTATGTACATGTACATTTTTGTCCTTTTATGTTTTGACAAATTTTAGCAACTTAAAAAATTTATTAAAAAATCCAGTTTTAATTGGAATCAGGTTAAAATTTCTACACAACATAAGAACATGTACATGTATATGCATCAGGAAAAAATTATAAAAGTAGAGAAAAGAAAAGAAAGTAAAGAAAAGTGAACCAGCAAGGGATAATTCTACCATTAGGTCTAGGGGAATTTTTATCCTCCAAGTTTGGAAAAAAATTTGCAATTTCCTGAAATCTCCTATAGCTTTTGGTCACTCATATTTTGCCATGTGTCCTGAAGTCTACCATTTTAGCTAGTTTAGTCTCCCAAAAATTTTATCTAGATATAATATCAATGGGCCTGTGTTTAATAGTGATAGTACAGTAACTAATTATGACAGTTAATTTACTGTATCTCTTATTTATTATTAAGGACAGTGTTTTGATGCTCATATGGATTCTCCTATACCTGGTCTACAGTATGTGATGGGTACTGATACTGATCCTGAACTATATGATACAATAGTAATGGCTAATCTTGTAAGTACATTATACTATACACACAATATTGTAGTGTATGATTTTCAAGCAACTTTAAAAATTCATAAAAAAATTCAATTTGATCAAAATCAGCTCAAACTTGATACTGAGCATGAGAACATGTATATGTATCAGAATAAAATATAAAAGTGGAGAACTACCACCTTTTTATTTTTGGCAAAGTTTGGCCAATGACCCTGTACAGGCACTTTGACCTGATTTTGGAGCAACTTTTAAAAATCATTAAAAATCTAATTTTGATCAGAATAGGCTGAAACTTCTGCACAACATTGGAACATGTATACACATGAGAAAAAAAATATAAAAAGGAAGAATTTTCACCTTTTCATTTTTGACAAAATTTAGCTAATTTTTATTTTCAAATTTCAATTTTAATGTTATTTGTTGTTTTTAGGATTATTTCCAGCTAAAGGGTAAGCCAGGAGCATGTAAGCTGAGACTAAGAGAAGGAAGATCATCAGAAGTATATCAAATATCAAGGTACAACTGTTTGTACAATATAGTAGTATAATAGTAATACTTGTACCAGTAATTGTTATGATCTACAGTACAGTG